GTTTTCGTACCTGCCGGAAGTTTTCGGCTCGTATGACAGTCTTCAACCGGAGGGGATCTCCATGAAATCGTTCGCAATGGCTCCATCAGTTCAGAATCATTACGTCACGACATTATCAGGGACAAGTGTTATGCAAAATAGCTTTGAAGTGCACAGGGACCACTTTCGAAAAAATGCAAAAGAGCACACGCATCAAGGATTCAAACCCTCGACCACGCATCCGTGAGCCCTACGACGTATCCACTCGGCCATGCTGCCACGATCTCGTCAGCCTTACGCCGCCAATGTAGTGTCTCCCCCTAAAAAGCTCCGTAACTTCTTTCTGGGAGGTCCGCAGCAGATATGGAAGACGGTTTCGTAATTCCCGTCCGAAGACCTTTCAGCCGGTATACATTTCATTTCAAATGGCCACTTCGACCTACCATCCTTCCCTTGTCAGTATGTCCATAAAATATGCATTCGGATAGAAAGGGAAAGATTTACTTCAAGGATGAATTCCTGTGAATACCTACGTCGACAATGTTCTTAATCGGCGCCAAAACAGTCGAGGAAGGTATTCGAAAACGAACTCAATGCAAGGATACATTCTCCACGATGGGCATGAACCTTTTCGAAAACATGTCCAGCAACGATGACTTATCATATCCATCCCACTCGAATGTAGAGCAGTAATAGTACAGTAAAGCTCTTAGGACTAAGATGGGATACACAACAAGATACATTAAAAATATTAACCAGAAAATTTAAAACTAAACGTACTGTACTAAAAGCCTTCGCCTCCACATTCGATCCACTAGGCTTTCTAACTTCACTATTATGAATACCTTATACAAGAAAATCCTCATAAAAGATCTGTGCAAAAAATTACTCATGGGATGACCCATTCAACGAATCTAGTCAGCGAAATGGAGATGTATCACAGGAGACATCAAAGGATTACAGGAAACGTACCACAGCCCCATAAGGAACAGAATACGATACGACCTAGTAATCTTCTTAGACGCCTCACAAAGGGCATAGTCGTATACTTGGTATGCCGAACACTGAGAAGAAAACCCTTCAGCCATCTGCTAAAGCAAAATCAGCCATTTGCCAAAGCAAAATTGGCGGCCCTAAAGAAGACATCCATTCCGAGGCTAGAATTACTAGGATGCGTCTTGGCAACGAAGATAGTACGTTTCCTACGAAACCAACTCCAGATACCTCTTACTTCAGTACAGATACTATCTGATTCTCAGATAGCTCTCTACTGGATACACTCCAATAAACAACTAACCTTCGTTAACAACAGGGTCAAAAGCATAGAAAATTGATGAACGAACTCATAGATGACGAACTCACCTTCGGCTTCGCCGTATGAACCCTATTACATCATACAGTACGCGCCGACTGCGCACCGCTAATGAGATTTTCTTCGCGCTGTTACTTCACCTCACTGTAAGCAGTTGCTTACCTTCTACTTATCTTTTCGGTTCTACACCAAACATCTCAAAAAGACGCCTAGCGGAAACATAGCAAATGGACGCATGACGACTGGAAGGAAATTGGCACCTGATGAAACTCACCTGTATAAGAAATGGAATACCTCGAATGTTTTTCATCACTGCTTCAGTGGTGTCTGGATTGATCGCATTGTCTGTAAGAAGCTTCTCCTCTTTCCAGTTGTTGCCCGAGTATATTGGCCGTTGTATGATCTGAGCAACAAATGCAGATGAGAGGAAACATGCTTGGTTTCTTTTTTTATGTAAACCCAGCAGCCTTCAGTGTATATAGAAGATTGATCAAGCAACTAGTGCACGATTGAAAGAATCTTCTCGAAGTACAGGCGTATGGAATTGGAAGGCTTACCTTCGGTCGTATCTGCCATGCGACAGCAAACAAGAGCATACCAAGCAAACCGGCCACCGTTAGTACAAGCGACACTATCAGTAAATCTTCTCGAAATATACCAAGGAATAAGCCTAAACCATGAAGCAGCCACTATATAATAAAAGCTCTCAAAACTCTTTCAGCAGCGAGGTGATCAATTTTGTTCGTGTTTTTTGCTTTGTTTGAGGAGAGATGCTTAGCATGGATACTAATTCGAGGTTGTTTGCTAAGGCAGTATGTTCCACCTCTCTCGTGAAAACAATGGGAAAAAAACTAACGAGTTTGAGCAGGGAATAGCATACACGTCAAGAGAATTAGTGTTGTAGGAATCTCAAACAATTCTCATCACTTTTTTTTACTTTCTATTCTAATGAAGAGGTGAGAGATGGTGTGGTGGCAAGTGGCAAGCATACCACGGGTCAAATTTCGGCTTGGTTCTCGCCCACGCCAACCAAGTCTTCGCCCCTTCAGGGACTGTAAATTGGTACATATTCGTCTGGGACGATAAGAACACTAACTTCTACCTGTCTTGTATCTGCTCATAAAAACACACAAGTTTTCGGCAGCAGACGACCTGGCTTCAATCAGTCCTAACTCGGTGAAAGTTCGGCCTATCATCAGCTGCGTGGGTGGTCCCACTGATCGGATTGCGTGGTTTCTTAATACCATATTGGTGCAGCTACTTAAGCACATACCAGCCCACCTAACCAATACTCAAATGTTCCTGGAACATCTCCATGCACTGCGCCTGAATGGCGCTTGCGTTATGGAATCATTTGATGTAGAGGCCCTCTATACTAATGTAAGTAATGGTGCTGCGATGGAAGCCCTATTTGAGCTCCTAACTCAGCACCACAGCACCATTAATATGTATGGGCTATCTATCAGCCAAATAATGGTGCTACTAGAAGTGTGCCTCGGTTGCAACATCTTTAGGTGGGCGGGGAGGTACTACGAGCAGGTCAGAGGCTTAGCAATGGGGCAACGGTTAGCGCCTACTTTGGCCATAGCCTTTATGTCCAAAATAGAAGCGCCCGCTTTAGAACACCGCCCCTTGCTCTACAGTCGCTATGTTGATGACTGCTTTGTGATCTGCTCCACACAGGAAGAGATGGACATGTGCTTCGAACTTCTCAACACAGTCTGAGCACATTAAGCTGACACGGGAAAAACCATCCGGAAATTGGCTACCTTTCCTAAATATCCAGGTGAAGATATTCAATATGCGCGAAAAGCGTTTAGATGTCTGCATGATATTGGGCGCCCTTTTGCCGAAAATCCAGTAATTCTCATTTGATGCGGTCGGGGAAACGGCCGTTTGTACTTTTCCAACTATATGCTCTAGCCTATCTTAACACTTGGCAATAGCGACAGCGTTGGCTTTGCGATCGCTTCATCCGTTATTGTACAACTTGATCCTCCGATCCTTCTCATCTTAGCGCCGACCCATTTGGTTTCTTGAAGCGCGCAGATGTCGATGTTCCTTACCGTCAGCATGTCCGTCAGCTCGGCAGAACTGCCGGTCAGGGTGCCGATGTTGAGTGTGGCGTTCCTGATGTTCTCGGCGCTTGCGTTCCAAAAGGACTTTCTAGCTGTGTGTCGCATTACGGTGACGTCTAGTTTGGCCCATTACGTTGGGCAACCTAGCTCTGATCGGGATACTTGAAAAATCCATTGATCATTATTGTGCAGAATTTGAATGGATTTCCTGAGTGAGTAGTCTGCAATTGCTTCTTATTCCTCAGGAGGCACGCCTCCGCGTTCGCTCGACGCGAAGCACACCACTTCCATCGCCGACGTTTGAGGGCCGACGGAATAGGATTTCATGGGGGAGAAAGTGCAAATAAAATGGCAAAAAGAAGCGTAATACGCCAGGAGAAATGGCGAAAACCACAAACGGGAAGTTTTCCTTTTGTCGTCAGCCGCAAACGCGCCGAACGACAAGCGGGAGTTTTTGGCGCCAACATGCCAGTCGCTACGCAACATGCTTAATGACGGCGATCAGGATTCTACTTGTGCGTGTTTAGAGAGATATTGGCAAGTTCTAAGGTGGCAAATGCCCTATCTACTTCACTGCGCGAAGCAAGCTGACGCAGAAGGACCATGAAGGACTATGAGAACGACTTTCTACACTTAACAGGCAAGTGGTTTCCACTTCTCATGGAAAACTGAATGAGTCGTCCAGGGTACATCGATAGACCGTAATGCTGACACGAGCTATGCTAGTATTAAAAATGCTACGGGTATCCTCCAAGTGAGCTCCGGGTCGTCAAAGTATGCTGTAAATACACTGTTGGCATGTGCCAGTTCCATCATGGCCCATTGGTCGTGGTCTCGCTTCACAAGCGAGAGTAAGTGGGTTTGCTTCCCTTTTTGCTTCGTAATATCCATATCCTGGAAGCTAACTTATCCATGAGAAATATTTCAGTGAACTCGATGTTTCATAATGGCTTTGCGCCTATCCGGCGTGGCGCTGTCAACAGATTTGTTTCTCGACAAACGGATGTGATATTCGAATCCAGGGAGGAGGTCAGAGTACCCTGGAAACAAGTTTCTGGCCAAATTGGGATTCTGACTCAAGGTTCGTATTGTCGGAAAAGATGAGTTTCATAAGGAGTGCCTGATGGCAGTCATGGTCTGCTACGTCAGACTCTTTTCCTACTCGCTCTACCGGACGTTTAACTCGGAGGAACGTTAAAAATTTGAAGGTGAAAGCTCTCACCGGAGACAAAGTCCAAAGTTTTCACGTGCACCGGGGAGCAGCCCAGTCGCTTTATCTTGAAGCGAGATCCGCTACCGCTCGGTCACGGTAATCGCACTGGCATCCAACCGCTCAGCATGCTCTACTAGCCAACGAAGTACATTGAGCTTGACCCTTGAAACTAGCTGTGTGAGAATCCCAAAAGCCATTTTGTACTGCCATATTATGCTTCAGCATTCGAGAATTTGTCGAATGATGCTCAGTTTTAAATTTCAAAAGGTCCCCGAGAACCCTTGTAACTCCATTCCGTTTGATATGATGCAGCAATTTCTGATCCATGGACAGATTGTCGTGTGGCTTGTAAGACAGGGTGTTTTTATAGATCCAAATGAGGAATCTAAGACTCAGCAACCGGATTTACTGCATGCCGTTATGATTTATGTCCCCCTTTCATATCTTCGTGAAGATTGTGAGAACTAGAAGAAGTAATTTATGACTACCCGACGAACGTTTCCACTACCCTACTGAAGTTCGAGTACATTACAGGCCATCACCTAATCGTAAGAGGGGGCACTCACCGCCACACAGTCCGATTCCTTACAGGACCAGCCGAGCGACTAGTAGACCCTTGGTACTGTTCGCCCATTCATTGTCACTCTTGGAAGGCCATCCTGATTTAGGTCTCAGTCATCCCGCGTTATTGTCACGCATTACTCCCTCCTGTTTTCATTTTCTGGACTTGCCACTCTTTTTTGCTCTTCCTCCCGAACAACTCGCCGCTGTTCGAAACATGTTCCTCACGACAGCTCGCTTGGTCTGCAGAGGGTGAGCGGACTGGCAATGGACGATAATGTTTTTATTGCTAGGCTTTTCATATACGCATTTCGTCTTAGGGGAAAAGCGTGCCAACCTGCCAGTGGAAACGTTCGTCGGGTAGTCATAAATTAGATTCCTCATTTGGATATAAAGCACCTGTCTCACAAGCACAGACAATCTTCATGGGTCAGAATTCTGCACATACAACGGAATGGAGTTCAGGTTTCCGGGGACTTTGAATTTAAAACTGAGCATATCGACAAAGTCTCGAATGCTGATAGCAAATATGCAGTACAAAATGCTTTTGGGATCTCACAAGCTAGTTCAAGGTCAGCTCAATGTATTGTTGGCTAGTGAGCACTGCTGAGCGGTGGAATGCCAGTGCGACCGTGACCGAGCGGTAGCGGTCTCGCTTCACAGAGCGATTGGGTCTGCTCCCCGGTGACGTGAATACCGCCACGCCGGATAGGCGCAAAGCCATTATGAAACATCGAGTTCACTGAAATCTTTCTCCATGGATAGTTAGCTTCCAGGATATGGATATTACGAAGCAAAAAGGGAAGCAAACCCACTTACTCTCGCTTGTGAAGCGAGACCACGACCAATGGGCCATGATGGAACTGGCACATGCCAACAGTGTATTTACAGCATACTTTGACGACCCGGAGCTCACTTGGAGGATACCCGTAGCATTTTTAATCTGCATACTCGTGTCAGCATTAAAGGTTCTATCAATGTACCTGGGACCTCATTCAGTTTTCCATGAGAAGTGGAAACCATTCCCTTGTTAGTGTAGAAGTCGTTCTCATGTCACTCTCATGTCCTTCTGGTCACTGCTTCCCAAGTGAAGTAGATAGGCATTTGCACCTTGAACTTGCCATATGCTCTCTAACACGCACATTTAGAATCCTGATCGCCTCATTAACATGTTTGTAGCGATGCTGTTGCGCCAAAAACTCCCGCTTGTCGTTCGGCGCGTTTGCGGCTGACGACAAACCGGAAAACCTTCCGTTTGTGGTTTTCGCCATTCTTCCTGGCGTATTACGCTTCTTTTTGCCATTTTATTTGCACTTTTCTCCCCCATAAATCCTATCCGCGGCCTCAACGTGGCATGGGGGTGGTGGCTTCGGCCAGCGAACGCGGAGGGTGCCTCCTGAGGATAGAAGCATTGCAGAACTTCACTCAGGAGGTTCATTCAAATTCTGCACAATAATGATCAATGGATTTTTCAAGTATCCCGATCAGAGCTAGGTTGCCCACCGTAATGGGCCAAACTAGGACGTCCACCGTAATGGACACACAAGCTAGAAGTGATGTACAGATCTTCACCAAATGGAAGCACGGATGCTACGTCGGCAGGCTGCTCCCAGAACTTATCCTTGTCCGCAGTGAGAAAATTTCCTTGCGGAGCGTAGATGTACATGATATGGGCGGCCCTTTTGCCGAAAATC